GAAAAAAAAGAAAAAAAAAAAAGGAAGATACCTAAGCCACTAAAAGTGACAACTTCTTCAACAAATACTGTTGTTAAACAAAAATAAAATAAAAAAGAACAGAGATGCATTAAGCAATGCAAGACTAGGCAAGTAAATTGTACAAGATGATGTCCAATATCTAATCAAACTTTTTTTTTTAAGGTTAAGTAATACACTTTTTTTTTTTTAACGCAAAAATGAAGAGTGATACTGCTGTGTCTATGTAGGCCAAAGTCTGCTGCAGAACAAATACTGGAGAAGAACAAACAAATCTCTCTCTGTCCGAATGAAGGTATCAGTATTAAAATGTAGTGCCACGGTTCTAAGTCTTGCCTTATTTCACTATCCTTAAAGGTAACTGTGCAGATGTGGATCAACATATATTTAAAATAAAGTATTAGCCTCTAACATTAACAAAAACATAGTGTTTACATTCTTTAGGTCCTGTGGGAAAAAAGAAAAAAAAAAGAAAAAAAAAACTGTGATAAAATTGCAAAGCAGTGATTTCCTTAATGTTGCTTTCAAATTGGTAATTATTTTACCAGTACTTAATTACTGTATGTCGTGAGACACTAAAATCAGTGGGGGGAGGGGACTTTAGTTTGACTTTAATTTTGAGATTATCAGCTGTACAATCACTTGTAGAAACTGTATAAAATCCTAATTCTTTGATTTTTTTTCATGAAGATTGCTGGCTTTTGAATAGTTTATTTATACTGTATATGATAGTTTCCACTGTAGACAATTATGATGCTAATTTATTGTTTGTTGGTTTCAACTTTATCTAAGATATAGCCAGAATGAAGAAGCCAAATATATGTGTTTACTGTAGCATGTCTTCAAGCTAGTGGAACATAGTTCAGGGACACACAAAGGTCTTCATAAATTTAAATCATTCACTTGATTAATTGTCTGTAAATCTTCATAATCCTAAGTGTAGTTTATTTAAATCTATTGTAAATTATGTGACTTGTAGCTTTTTCTGTTTCATGTGAACTTGAAAAGGTGCATTCTCTTATTTTTTTTCCAACTATCCACACACTGTATACCAAAGACATTAATTATTACATCTGCATTAGTTAACATGTTATTTTAATCACCTGTATTAATCAGCTGTATTCTGTCCATGCATAGGGTACAAACACAGCAAAGCCTGATGTCTGCACCTCCTAGATGCCTGCCTTGAGTCACAGAATGCACACAGTGACATACTGGCCAAAAGCAAATACACCCCCATGGTCATCCCACACAGCAAGCATGGCAACATTATTTACCTAAGAGCATTCTCCCTCAAACAAACTAAATTAACAGACAGTAAGATGCAGGTGGCAATTGACTGTGGTTGTGATATCTACATATCATGAGTATAGTTCAAAGTTTGGTCATTTGTTTCCTTTTTAAAAGAAAAACAAAGCATATTTCAAGTGTTTGCATTTTCTTTTCTCTCTCTTTTTTTTTTTTTTCTTTTTTGCTATTGAAATGCTACAGTGAATATCACTGAATATTTAAGCAAAAAGCTTTAAAAATGTTACTAGCTGTATTCACAGCATGATAATCTACATACAGGACAAAAGAATTAAAATAAGGATGTAAGAAAGAAGATTTTTACATACAATTTAATGGAAACAATTTCAGATAAACTAACATATATTTGCCCATATCTGTCATTCCAAGAATCCCACTTGATTGCCCAAAGTTTGCAAACAAAAGGAGAAAAAAAAAAAGAAAAAGAAAATAACCAAACCTCATGTTAATTGTTAACTACTTTGTAACCAGACATTTGCTTTTGACTGTCTTATTGATTACAGGACATATTAGTAAAAGCAGACTAAAAATTCAAAGGTTTTGGCTTTGGCTGGTTTATTATAGTTGTTCTGTGTGTGTAAACAGACAATCTGTAAAGTCTGACTATTTGTACTACAGATGTTCTGCAGCTGCCTTGGATTTAAATCCATGCAACTCTTAGAATGTGCAGTGAGTTACTTGTTGAAGTTGAAGTTTTCTTACTGTATCAGTGAAATACATATTGTCATGTCAGTTCTTGCCAGAAGTTTCTCATCGCCAATGGATTTTTTTTTCAGTATTTCAATAAATATTGATATGTTCATGCTGACTACTTTTAAATTGTCTTTATGCATTCCACATCATTCCACCAAAATGAAGCACAAGTCAAAATACAGTTTCTCAGAAGAGAAGAGTGAAATATAAAACACATAAGAGTCCCCAAAAAATAAACAAACTGATGCTAAGAGAAAAGTACAAATGTAGGGAACAGCACTTTCAAATGCTCAGGCAGCAGTGATGAAATTGTGTAGGCTGAAGCAAAATAAATCCAGCTAAACAGATCAGAAAAGCTGTGTTGACTCAAAAAGGAATTTACTAGTTTAAAAAGTTAATGCATTTCATCTCATTCTGCACACTTGATTTCACTCTAAACATTGTTCAAAAAGGGTTAAGCAGCCAAACAATCGGAGGAGAAAAATGACAGAACAAAAGAAAATCAGGTAACAGGATCCAGCAGAGCTCAGGTTAACCTCTCAGCAATGTAAATACAGCACAGGGCCAGGGGCAACTCCAGAGCTTCCAGCACAACTGCCAGCAGAGGCTGCCAAGGAGGCAGATGTTACAGCTACAAGAGAAAAATATTCTCTTAAAGTTGCCCTCTGGCTCATCTGATTGCCATTTCAAGAGCAGGGGGTGAAGCAGTCCAACAGCTTGTCAGTAGCACCCTACTGTTCTGAGATCAAGTCCACTGCTGCCTCTAAACTGTCTTGTAGCTGAAAAGGGACTGTTCCGCATGGTGCCAAGTGTTAATGCTTCAAGGGGAAGAAACTGCTCCATAATTAGTTATTTACAAATACTGTGTTTGAATAAAACAAAGCTGTGTTAGTGTTGAAATAAGAACAGAGTCAAATAGATAGGATACTTTTAACTGTTGGGAATCATAACTAAAAACTACATCTCATAAGATCCAGGTGAGGTCTCAGGATCAAAATCTCATCTAAGGAAAACATTTATTTATATTATATATATATAGGCACTATATTTAGTATATGTACTGCAGATTTAAATTATAAGGGAATTTATTTTTAACTGTGTTTGACACTGATTTTGGAACAATCCGCTGTGTGTTTTTATTGGAAACATGGAAAGAGTGAGTTCAATGTATCACAGGTCATCAGTACAATACTTGGTGATCTTGACAATTTCCTGGAATACTGAATAACACTTTTCATTAACCCTTAATATGAAACCCATAGTCTAGATACGTGATAAAACTTCTAATGACACTCTTAGCTACTCCAGTACAGTTGCTATAATTTTATCTGTGCAGGTGTATTTGCTATAGACTGCAGTTCAGAGAATTAGACTAAACTAATAACAATACAAAAAAATTCCAGGTAAGTTTTAGGAGCACCAGATCTCACAGCTTTGTAACCCTGTGATGCTGGCATGAGGGTAAATACTTCTGTGCCCATCCCATATTCTCAGTTGCAATAAGCTTTTAGAGAAAAGATTCAGTTTCTAATGGCAGTTTACCAACAATATGGAAAACTTTGCCAAATTATTAAAATAGAAGAGGGCTTAACCCTCACTTTGTGTAGACATGCCTACCCTGATGTCAGTGGAACCAACCTTGCTGCACTACTTGGTAGTTTCAGCCCAGTCCAGCCCATGCCAATAGGACAAGACAAGGATTCCCATCATCAAACTTTTTCCAAAGCCCCTTTTTTTGCTCATCTGTGGGACAAAAGCCTTTCTAATTTATTTAAGTCTGGCATGCAAGATTGGACTTACACAAAAATAGGTGAGCTTTTCCCATCACTCCAAGTCATGACCCCTGTTTCCTGAAATCACTCTCATGTCCTTTAGTCCTAGATTAACATTCAGTCTTATGGTAGTTTCTGCGCACACCCAGGAGGATAATTCACATGCAAAGTAAAGCAAAATGTGGATGGAATACAGGCTCCTGATGGTGCCTACATTAACAATGGCTCAGCTGTAGTACTCTGCTCAGATCACTGGAGCCCAACCCCATCGCAGACCACAGGGCTTATAATACAGGCTGACACAAACAGTAGAAAAACTTAATGTTGTAGTCATCATTTGTCCTCTTAAATCTGGCTTTTCCTATGCTTTGGGATGAGTAAATTCACTGTAAAATAAGGAAATGATTCTTGGTGTGAGGTGCAGAACATAGAAACACTTCAGTAACACCAGTTGCTCATTGCATGTGCTGCTGCAGCTACACAAAGCTGTGTGATCCATGGTGTAACATCAAGTGCAATATCCTCAATCAAAAACTTCACAGAACAGGAGCCTCCCTGCAGGCATTTGTGTCAATCACACTATGACAGATATTACAGAATGTTTGCTGGATACTATCATTGCCAACTGTCAGTTATACAGTAATATGGGGACTCTGTATCAGAGGGAAAAAAGTATGTTTGCAAGAAGGACCCTGAACAAGTCACTGTATGTACAACAAAACCCGCTGAAGGCCATTCAGTAACTACTGACATGCACATGTGCCACAAATCACTTTTGGGAATTCCTCAAGAACACTCAAAAATCCAGTTCTCTGGTTGCTGTCCAGGATGATTTGTGAGGCACCGTTCCCCATGGGGATAGCTAGAGCTCTGTTTTGCAGTGCTGTCTTTCCACTCATGTAAGCAGAAGCATGTTGGTGCAGAATAATACAAGAGAGGGGCATGCTCTTCTGAACAATACGACAGCATTTATAACATGTGCTACATCATTATAGCTGTGGTGCTCTTCACTGCTTGATCTAGACCTGCAAGTATCAAAGAGGGTAAGTTCTACAAAGTGCTTCCTACAGCACAGAAGCACATCACAGCTTTATGTAAGAAGAAGGTCTAGAAAACTGCCTGAGTTTGAATCCCACAGTAAGAAACATGGAGTACTGTGGATGCCTATCATAATCAGTCCATATAGCAGAAAGCAAAAGAGATAACTGGGGACAGGGGTGCTCCAGGAGGAAATATAAGAAAAACTAAGCACAAATGTAGAATATGCAAGATGATATTTCTGTTTCATAAATATTTCATGATTCACTTTTAATGTAAAGGAAAAAATAAATAAAATATGGTGGATTATTATCATCACTTGGAAGTATTAACAAGGCCTGAATAAATTATAATTTATGTATTTTACAGACCTGCCACACTAAGTGATACTGTTTCTAATTTTCATTTAATAAATGTCATTTTATTTTACAATTTTTATATGTTTCAGATAAAAAAAAATGACATGGAATAATTAGTTAAGTATGTTTAATCAATATATTAAACTCCTGCTGAGCCAACTGAAGCTTATCACTGGAGTTTATTTTAATTTAAAACAAAACATTATAGCTCCTTCCCAAAGTTCACACTGGTCTTTTTTCTTAGCAAATTCAGTGAAATGCTCTACAACAAATTCTTACTCTTCCTAATAAGACCTGTCCACAAGTTCCACACAACTTGATTTTGCAGCTAGAGGCCTCCCCAAGTCTTGCATGACTTTGGAAACAGAACTGGAGCTGAGAGAGGTACTGGCCCCAACACGCTGGAGCTGAGCACGTCTTGTGACTTTTGTTTCTCTGTATTAGTGTCTCTTCTCTGGGGGTTGGAGGATGGAGGGAATAAAAACGGGAGTGTCAAGGATTTAGCAGTGTCTGCATGTTTAGAAGCAGCAGAGTGATCATAAATGTCAAAACAGGAAAACAACTGCTGAAACCTGGCCACTTCAGGCTAAGGCAAGCCCAGCCAAAAGCAAGACAAGGTCACCAGTCAGCCCCCTATGTCTTAGCTTACAACGACCAGCTAAAACATCAACAGTCCTCACCAAACATTGTTTTCAGAAGGAAAATAGGAAACATAAAAGAATTTTAGTTTAACAATAACACTAAAATATTCATAGTGGAATCTAAACAGAGAAGCAGCATCAGAATGAAATTATTTTAAGACAGGTTTTCTGGTGTTTTTTTTTCTCCAACAACACACATAACCAAGAAACAGCCTTTGCCAAGAAGAGTAAAGGGAACAAAGTTTTCCTTTTTTAAATTTGTTTGTATATCCAACTTTGACACAGCCTTACCCCTTGAGCATCCTGCAAGGAAAAAAATAAAACTTACCAAAAAGCGCTGTACTTTCCAGGGTGACAGAGTTAAGGCACTTTTGCTTGTCAGAAAAAGCTGGCTGATATCTCACCTGGTGTTCTGGAGCCCTCAGGAAGCCTGGCTGAACAGCATCAACCATGTCTCAGCACTGTTTTGTTCAAGAATGAGCAACAACCACAAACACGCAACAGAAGTTGCTGCAGGCAAAGGCGGCACAGCCCGAGCACTGCCTATGTGGGGATACAGCACACTGGTGTCACAAGTGGTCAGCCTGTGAACAGAAGCAGAAGGAACATTTTGTGAGATCTATATCCCCCATCTACTACAGAACCATTGTCCATCTATCTAACACGAGTGTCATGAAAAAACCAGCAGTATTTTCCTAGCATATTTTCTAATATTTAGACCAAATGATTCATTAAAAGTTCACTGTACCAATGCCATAGTTTTACCCAGCTTATCTCTCACCTCCCCTGTATTTACATTTTAGCTCTGTTTGGAGGTCAATTTCATGTGCACAACAACACACAGAAATAATATACACAAAGCATGAAAAAAGCTCCAGAAAGGAAGTGATCACTTTAGGTTGATAAAATTGAGACCAAGGACACTAGAAAAACCCTGCTTTCTTCCTGGTAGCTACTTTACAGTTGATCTCCTGTTTTTTTTTTAACGTTTCTCATGAAAGCCATAATTAATACAAAACAAACTAATTTAACCAAGAAAAAAAAAATGATAACTTGTTTGTAGTTTAAGGAACTATTTTAGAATAAGCAAGTACACGCATACTTCATGTAATTTAGGATAGAGATAAAAGAGCAAAAAGTCTCAATCCAACTTTTTTGTTAAAAATAAAATAAATATTTTTAAAATGTGTACTATTCCCACAGGTCTGCTAGTCCTGAGGTACACGAGGTTCAGATCTATAGCAGAGCTGGTATGAGCGATGCCTACTGGCATCCAGAGCAGCCAATACTGGAATCCCTAAAACTCTCTGCAGTCCCAGACTCCTCTGAAATCCTGGAAAATTCCCAGATGTATCATCTGTAACACACAGACAAGTCTGACCTACTTGCTAAACTATTCCAAAAACCTGATTATTTGTCACACTAACATTTAAAACACAAGAACTAGTTTATAAATACCATTAGGATGAGAACTGTTACTGGTGCATCCACTCTAGAGGTCAATGAGCACCTCAAGAGCACTCAGCTACTCCAAAGGGGCAAGCGGAGGAAGCAGACCTTGACTGGTTGGATTTACCAGGCAGAAGGTAATTGTTGTGTATGTCTCTTGGAATCCACATATAGGATGGTGTTCTACTGACAGGCTCCCCCTTCCCAAGGAAGGAAAAAGAGAGAGCTGAAGAATAAAGGAAATTTCCTGGGAGAACACACAAGCAAGGCCAAATTCCTTTTTTTCCATTTCAGAGGATTTTTCTTCAAGTTATTTGATATCATTTCAATCATCTCTAAGTAGAAACTTCAACATGTTTCTTCTGGCAGCATTAGCCTCTCTCAGTCAATGTGCAGCCATCACCACACTGTTATGTGTTCCCCCCTTAGCTCATTATTTCCACTCTTTAATTGTTCTTTCAGCCTTCTGTAGTACTATTGTTATCCAAATCGTGTTGGTGGTGCTTTCCAAACATGGATGAGTAACAGTTCCTGCCTTTGAGAATTTATTATCATGAAATAAACCTTTGAAATTCTCCACCCAGGACAAAATACAACAATTGCAGCTGTCTTCAAAAGTTTTTAAAAATTCTGTAAATTCCTATTTCTGACATGAAGCCAAATACACATCTTTTACGTGTATAAAGATGAGTGGGGTCTTTTCCAAGTAACTCAGTTTGTATTGCAAAACTGATCTTAAGGATCTGAACTTCCCCAAAAATGAAGTCCTCAGTTTTAGATCTTTGTCACGCCTCATTCACATACCTCAGAAACTACCAGTCTCTGTATCCCAGTGTAGCTGGTTCATGAGCAGAACTCACAAGGCACATCTGCGATATCCATAACTGAGACCTTGCTGAACGAAGTATTTCTCCCTTTACTGATAGAGCTGTTACAAGCTGGTAAAATTCACTGCACAGCTAAATGAGAATGGAACAACTAGGAGATGAGGTTTTAAAAGAAACCACACAAAGCCACAGCAGAGATGTAAACAAAGTAATTCATTCCAATTAGAGAGAAAAGAGAAGCTGAAAATGATTGAGGGCAGTCAATTCACTTTATCCTAAGAGTTTATTTGCACAGCTCATTCACATAACATAGTTTATTTGGTTTCTGTTCATTCTAACACATTGCAGAATGTAAACACCACAAGATCATCAATCCACGAATGTTTTTCTGCAAGAGCTAAAAAGGAAAAGGATCACATGGAATCATTAAGAAATAACTAAGTAAGAGTGGGAAAAACTGCAGTGCAGGAAACAATCATCTCCAAGCCTAAAACTTCACAGTTAGTTTAGGAATGGGTCTCATTCTGTATTTGCCTGTTGCACTCTAAGCACAGTTATGCATGATGATACTCTGAAATACTAAGTTACTCACTGTAGTGTGATAGGTCTGCTCCAATTTTGTTAGAAACTTTATAAATCGTTTTCAATTAGTAACAGTTGGTTAATATCGTGTGAAAACTAAAAGGGGGGTTACTTTTCACTTAGTGTATTTAAATGCCATTATTGCCATTAAAAAAGAACAAAAAAACAAAAAACAAAAAAACACCAGCACAAAAAATTCAGCCCAGTAAGAGCTGTGAGCCTATGCACTTCTAAACATCTTGGTGACTCAGCCCCCACGAGCCAGGATGAAATAACTGCCGTGACAGATGGTGAGGGACCCATGGGGCAGCTGGGGAGCATAAGACTGGCTCCTGCCCATGCTGCTGAGTGCCCCAACTGCTCTCAAAGCTCCTGCAGAAGATAACAGAGCCTACAAATCAGAGTCTTCACCCAGGAATCTCCAAGTTATCCTACTATAGCAGTGACACAGACCACAGGAAGAGAAGGGACAAGAGTGAATCAAGGAAAATGGCTAGCAAGAGAACACAGCAAACTATAGGATATGCAGAGAGAACAAGAGGGGACCCAGAGAAATGTGTTCTCAAGGGTGAATCAATGTTTTGACTGAAATACATTAATTTCTTATCTCATTCACATTGTAAAACATCTCTCTGGAGCACAATGACCTTTGATTATTACAGGTAGGTTTACAGACACTGATTCTCCTGATTTGTTTTGTCTGCTGCTTAATTTCTTCAAAGTTACACACAAAAAAGCATACTCCAGTCAGGGGAGAACATTTTCACAGCACATGACACGCAGGAAGTTTTACTGCCGAGTTTTCAAAGGCACTTAGCCCACCATGCGGATACTCAGTCTATTGGGTCGCTGAACTGTAATAAAAGACATCATTAAATGAAACATTTGATGGAGGTACTTGGCTCATTGGGTCAGTGGTTTTAGTTATAAGGAACTCCTTGTGAAGCTAATAGAGAAAAAAATTAGCCATTTTGATTTCCAAGACCAGCCTCTCTTTTTAAAGAGGGACACACAGCAGTTTCTAGTAATACACATAATAACCACAGATATTTTCAAGGAGACTACATGCTGCCACCAGCAGTTATAACAATACTGATGTAAATGGTATGCACAACCAGCACTGATATCAATATGTTGATGCTGAAGAGCTTGCTGAAACCCCACATCATACTGTGATGGGAGTATTAAGAGTTTCAGTGTTTCTCATGATTCTCTTCTCCAAATCCTCCGAAATCTTGCTTGCAGGAAAGCCAGACAAATCTACTGAAAAACCATCAGTTACATATTTCTTCCCAAAGACAAGATTCAATAGCCCCTGTAAAGTTATCAGAGATCTGTTCCTTTTGTTCTTCCTCTAACCTTCTTACCATTCATTTCTTACTTATCTGCCTTCACAAGTGCACCACAAATTCTCAAGCCTAGTTCAGACCTAACTTGGTCCTCTACATCATCATTTGGGTTTTTTGTTTTTTTTTGCTTGAAATGAAAACACCTTACAGACATACAACTCAGTAGATAAGATGACAGTTCTGATCTAAAACACAGGAGTGTGCCAAATACTAGAATTCAGAACCGGTTGGCCAGTGGACAAGTCTCAGGAATTTCTACTAAAGGCATGTCTCCAAGCAAGTTGGCCTAGGAACCACCAGTCTCTGTTCCATTGTCTACCTCCCTGCCCTGATGCATCTCCTCTGGCCACCACCGAGCTGCCTCCTCCAGGGCTGTCTGGCACAATGAGCTGCTGCCAAGAGCTGCGGGTGGAAGGAAGTCACCACACAACAAACATTTCAGGTGGCTCACTGGAAGCATTTAGCATGTGAAAGCAGAGTAAGAAGCCTCATATTGTTTTACAGTGTTAAAGTAGATGTGTTCACAACATAGTTACTCCAGCTGTAGGAGAAAAGACAAGGCCCTGTAATACAACTTCCAACTTTCCTTGGAGAAAGCAAACTACTCTGGAAAAAAACATCACTAATAAATTTTGGCCTGGACTTCATAGTTCAACTACCTAGTTCAAGCTACAAGTAAGAAAGAGCCTCCTTTCTTCTTTGACACTACTGAGGGTTTTCTTAGGAACTAGGTGGTGGGTGACAGGCAAATACAGGATCCTGAAGGAGGGAATCACATGCACTCCACCTTCGTGGCTTCCTCAGAGAAGATGCTCAGTTTCAGAGGGAACACCTCTGAACATACCAGTACAGAGCAGACATATAACTGATGCTATGTAGTTTTAGTAAAGCACAAAGCAACAGAGCACAGCTTTTACAGCTCCAAAATACTTTTTTTTTGTTTTTTTTTCTCCAAGACTGAATTTCAAACTTTCAGAACAGCATGCTCACACTCCAGCTCTGGCTGATGCACCATAGTTCATCAAGAGTGAAAAAGGGAGCATTCCATTTCAAGACATTTCTATGTGGTTTTCTATCAACTTACCTTAGCAGAGAACGTTTTTGTTTTCAGGACAGAGAGGTTGAATCACAGCATGCATGTCTACAACTGGGTAGTAGTATCACTGATATTATCTTCACGATTGCTAAAAAGAAAAAATAAAATTTTATCCACTGTGCAGGAAGCTGGATTTTTATCCCCAGCATGACAAAGCCCTGACCTGGCTGAATATCTTGCTATTAGCACAAAATAAATTTGAAAAAGTTTAATGCTTAAGAAAAGTATATATAACAACACAACAGCGTTCTTGACTCTATCTACTATAATCTGCACAAAATGATTCATTAGCTACTTTGCCTCTTGGTCTCTCAGGCTCTAGTCCTTTCATTCTTATGCCATCTCCTTAACCTAAATCAGGAAAAAAAAAAAACAACAGGAAAAAAAAAAAAACAGATAATCACAAAGCAGTTTTCTGAGAATACATTTACCTGTCTTCTCCAAGCCTGGTGTCACATTACCAAACAATCATTAAAATAATTACCTTTAATAGCACATTACAAACGATTTCCTGAAGACTAAAAATACTTCTATGAAATACACTGCTATGCTGGAGGAAGTTGGGCATTGCTTTCTAAACATTACTTACTATATGTAAATTCTGATCTCCTTTTGCTGTATCACCAAACACAAATGGCTTTTGCTATCCTTCTTTACACAATCATCCCAAAAGAAATAGGATTGTGGAAGCAAACCTTTACTAAGCCTCAGGCAGGCACCGAGATGCCGAGTTCCCACATCACGCAGGATGCAAGCTGGGTCCCAGAGGCTGTCCGTCACTTGATATTAGTCTACATCAAACTGTGACACACACACAGCTACACACACAGTAGACTCTCCCAAATGTGTGCAGTGATCAGAGACCAGCAAGGCAACATCTGCTAGGTCTAGGAACTGCTTCTTGTCACAAACTATGCCAAACTGTCAAATTGCCTGCGACCTATCACAGCTACCACTTGTCACACTACCTGAGCTGCCAGCAAAGCCGATGGGACAGAAGCCAGAGCGACTGAAGAAATCACTGAAAGAAGAAATTGCTCTTTTTTTTTCTCTCTCTTTACACTTCAGTATCAGCAGCAGTATGGCAAACCCAAAGAAATACTTTCCCAATATTTTTAGCAGAGAATACCTATTGCTTCCCAAACCACATACAAACAAGGCTGCTTTTCTGCTACTATGAAACCTAAATTTAAATTCTATTTCTGCATAAGCAAGGTGGTGCGAGTCTTAAGCACCAGCCAGAGCACCTTCCCGTTTCTGAGGCTGGAACACACCAGTGGCACTCCACTTTCAGAAAATTCAGGAGAGCAAAGGTAGGTAAACAAAAGTCTATTTTAAATATCACTTTCCTCATCCTTTTGTAAGATCACACTTTCCTGAGATTTTCTTCAAGCTTTCCATACAGGTTTTTAATAAATAGAACTAACATTTTACAGAAGCTAAGGCTATACCAGCACTACCAAACAGCAGCTCCGTAACTTTCCAGTCTCAGTTTTCCTGCTGCAAAATGCTGTTCTGTTGGCTTGAAGACGATGCAAATCTACACAGATAGATCTATCTTAACATCCCTGGTTAGTAGCACCATCTATAAGACATCTTATCACAAAATGCTCACGGAACACTGAGTAACTTCATATTTTCTGGCAATTTTATACAAGAAGAGTGACCTGATCATAAGTTAAGCATGGCAATAACTATGAGGGCTGCTCTGAAAGTAATGCCTCCTGTTACATTACATTGGACTACAACATCAGAGGTAGATGTTGGAGGTACATCAGTAGAGATTGAACCTTCCTCCAGTATTCCTGTTACATTTTGGTGCCATGTGACAGATGGCAGCAGATGGGCAGTCTGATATCAAAGTTCATATGAAGCAAAAGTGCATCACTGAATTCTTCCATGAAAAGAAAATTGCAGCCATTGATGTTTGCTGAATGTTGATGGAGACCAAGCAGTGGATGGTAGCACAGTAAGGTGGTGGGTGGTGTGTTTCAGCAGTGGCAAAAGAAACATGAAAGACAAACTATGCTCTGGATGGTGATTGTTATGAGTGTGGTATGCTTGTTCATCACTAGCAAAAATGCACAGCTAATGGTGGTGACTGTGTTGAAAAAAATAGTGTTTTGTAGCTGAGAAATGGCTCTATCAAATAGCATTACTGTGCTCTTTGTCTCTGTTGTAGTTTCCTAAGAAAAAAAATAGGAGGCGTTACTTTCAGAGCAATGCATGTATTATGAAGATTGTTATCAGGACACACAAAAAAATGATAATTAAAATAGAGACCCACTAAGCATGATGACTACATTAGAGTGCAGAAGCTAGCACATCCCAACACCACTGCCTTCCTCAGGCTATGTCTGAGGTTGCTGCAGCTGCAATCTTAGTTGTTTGCCTGCACTCAGTCAAGTGAAAATTATTTGGGAACAGGAATCTTCCGCATGAGTACATGAATTACGTCATCATTTCTGTACTCACCGTGCTGTCAGTGAGCAACTCTTCAAAATTAAGGTACGGCCTTAACTCTGGGTACTTGAGGACCTTCTTGTCTGGTTGGGCTTTTTGAATGGCAGGAAGGAAGTTGGGGGCCATTGAAGAGAGGTTTTAGCACCATCCATCTCTTCCCCATTTATCTTAACAATATCAACGCCATCTAGTGGTCAATATAGCAGGATGTAAAAAACTGGGTAAAGTTACACATTGTCCTGGCTAATAACTCTCAGGAAGCAACTGGAGAAATGCAGCTTTTTATATGCCTCTCAACATAGAGAGCAAAAGAGCAATTTACACTGAAGTTGCTTGAAAGCATTTCTCAATGTGTTCAAAGTACAGCATTTGACATATGCCTCTGCAACCTTCCGTAAAGGAAAAAAAATCAACACTTGGGCAAATCTTGCTCTATAAAAAAGTAGTGGCAAAAATGAGATAATAACACAAAACAGCAATATTTAAATTTATCATTGCAAGACTAGTGCATTTATGACCTAGATTTTCAACGCAACCTAGGCTGTGCAATGAAGGACATATGTCCAGTCAATAACACCCACAACATCCATTAAATTATACTGCATTTGCAGAAGGCAAGAAAGTTCAGAAGGATGAATGCACATTTAACACATACAGACATTCTGTTAGAAAGCAATGTGTGAGATCAGTATTTCTCATCACCATATCGGCATTTAATGCATGCTGTAGTATCTTCTGGTCAAATCTGATATCCAGCTTAGGGCGAGGGGTTTTTCAGTTTGGTTCAGAATGCTATCCCAAAGCTTGTCCAAAACTAGATATGTCAGAAGATGTGGTAAAAACGAGTTTTGAAAGATGCTCAGTGCTAACCAGATATCTTACACTCCTTTCTGAAAACAGAAGTGGCTGACATACACAACAAATGTTAGCAAATAAAAGTCAAGGCAAAAGAGTTTTTATGTCTGCATAAAATCTATCCAGCCTTATTTTCCCAGAAAATATGTTAGCAAAGTACAAGGTATAGGATAAGGTGCAAAAAGTACTCTGAGAAGAATCATATCAGCACATTTTGGGAAATGCTGAACTTGTTTCTGTATTACAGCATGTATCACATCACTCCAGGAAATGAAAACTTGTTATTGGTTCTAATAAAGGCAATTTCTCTTCCCCTCAGCAAAGCTTCTGTACACCTTTCAGACAGAGATCTTTCAAGCACACAGCTCCCAGCTCAATTTTGGTCCCATCTAGCTCAATCCTCTCTCCAGAGGCTCCCAGATTTCTAAGATTTCTAGACTGCTCTTGCACATGCAAAATTTTTTTTAAATTTCACTGTACTTTCAAATATAGAAATACTTGCTGTCTTCTACCTTATATACACAGATGCTTGTGCACTAACCCAAACAGTTTGAAATGTTTTGAGTAATGCATCAAAAGAGCAATGGCACCTTAACGATATATTACATTAATACATCATCAAAGCTATGGCACTCTTATGATATATTAGTTTAATACATCATAGCGGTGCCATGTCTAGGACAATGTATTACTCCAAAACACAGCAACAGCCAGAAAGCTCTCAAAATAAGTTTTGTGTTTTTTGAACTTATTTACATCATATGAGAGTCCGGGCTATTTTTTAAATTTCTCAGAAATAATGGTGTTCACAAGCAACAGAAGCCTGCAGCTACCCACTCACGTCAACACTCCCAAGAAGCTATTTCACAATCTGCCACCTAAGACACTCTTGCACACACACATGAAAAAGATGCTTTGGTGTCTAAATTAGCAAAGCCAGCTTTCCCCTGCTACAAGAATTTGTCTAGTACTTCACCTAAATTTCATGGCATTTACCCAGACCCTCTGTTACAGCACCAGCATGACCAAGATCCTATGTATACAGTACAGCATTTCAGGAAAAACATATGTCCTCAGCATAGCTTCAGGAAGAAGTAGTCAGATCACAGTATAGATTACTGTGTTGGAGCATGCACAACTGGAGCAGCCAAGGCTGGTATGCGTCTGCTCTTCTGACCTGAGCCCTGTGTGTAGTGCTGGGGCAGGGACACCGCCCATCACGGGACTGGAGCCAGTGCGGGCAAGTAACATTTATCACCTCTTTTGTAAAATAAGTCACCCTTTGGTTTCTGTGATAGCAAAGGATTGCATTGCATTCTACTTTTTACACAGATGTATGGCCTTCCCTAGATGTTTTCTTGCATTAGTGCCAAAAACATGCCAAGTACAGTCTGACCAATACGTTTGTGTGTCTACAAAGTAAATCAGGTTATGTGTGCACGCAAGATCTGGGAAGGGATATTTTGCACAAGTTCAAAGACAAAAAGCAGAACACCTCCTGGAAAGTAGCAGAAAAGAACGTACAGAAGTGAAAACAAAGTTCCTGCAGCAAAATAAAGATGAAAAAGAGAAAACAAAATTATCATCTCAAAACAGGAATAACAAGAAGAAAAAAAGAACACAAAGAAAAATCCTCACACAAAACTCCGGTGAAAGAAACAGGATTTTCCGCCATGCCGACTGTGTGGGAAGGCGCAAATAAAAATTATTGAGAACCGCCTGGCTGTTCTTTGGGGCCTCACAAAGAGGTGAAAGTTTAAAAGGTTAATCCAAAATTACTTTTATGGCCACAATGTAAATCTTTCCTCCTATTATTTATTCATAAATTACTCATTAATTTCACTTAAAGCACTTCAAACACAATTACGCAGGTGCTCCAATTCTTGCAGAGAACAATAGCAGCGGTGCAAAGCGCCCAGCTGCGCTCCCTCCCGGCCCGGCTCCGCCCTGGCGGCCCCGCAGAAGCTACAGCCGAGCCGAGCCCTCCGCCTTCTCACTTACCTGCTTCCTGAGGGCCCGGCTCCTCCCCGGCAGCAGGTACAAAAAGATTTAACTTCAAAGCGTTTCGCTGAAGCTCCCGCGAGTGTTCGGGCGCCTTCCCCCGCCACGGGCACCTGTCCGACCGCTCGCTGGGCTGCAGCTGGGGGTGCTGCTGCGTGGGGCAGCTCGGCGCCCCGCGCCCTGCCGCGCAGCACGGGCTTGCACCGCTGGGAGGTGAGGGCACGTGCCGGCGCCTCAGCAGCCCTAGGGCCGCCTGCGTTACCTGCAAGAGGCTGTTTTCCCTCTGTGACACATCATTTCTCTGTTTGAAGTAAAACCATCCTGTTTTTTGCACAGGATAAGGTGCATCATTACCAAACCACAGTTAAGCCATTCTCTATTAAATTACTCTTGTTCACATTCCTGTAGTTTGCAGGCAAATGCAAGTCTGGATTCGATTTCTATCTCCCTTTGTTTCAATACACTACTATTCCTCCATTCCTTTGGTACACAACATCGCACGTTCTCCCATAGCTCTGAATCCTACAGAAGCACAGCACACAAGTAGTCATGGCATTACTGCAGGAGGATAAACCGCACAGACACAGTTCAAAATCAGAAGTCTTGACAGAGACGGAAAAAATAACAGATAATAATAAAATGTAGTCAAGAAAACAGAAAAGAGTGCCAGAGGGGTGTGGGGGAATGCACTGAGCACCTATGGGAGTGCAGAATAGAAATGGAAAATAATCTATCTTCAGCTCCTACCCTGTCCAGTAGCTTAGACCTCAGTAAGCAACGTGCATCCGAGGGCAGGGTGACCCCAGGGCCCTGAGCTTCCACAGCACCCAAGGAGCAGAGCTGGGGGGAAGGCAGAGGGCAGAGGCCGGGCCCTGTACTGCCCACCCACCAGTGAGATGACAACAGTAGCCTCTCCCGCTTCTCCCCTCCTGCCTCTCAGCTCGGAGGATGCTTTTTGCTTGATGAGCCACCTTGACTTGCTGACACAGCAAAAGTCTCACCCTCTCCACAGTGATGATTTTTGAAAACCTCTAACCAGCTCCTAATCCTAATACCTCTATCAGAATGGATGCTAATAGAAACATCATCAAGACACGCGTGGATGAAATAATAGAATAGATCATATGTCTGAAGTATTAATAAATATCGTTCTTAAGTAGCAATAGACTTTGTGCAGAGATCTAGAGTCTGAAACACATTTTGGATAAATTAAAATTACATGACAACTTATTGTAATTCTAAGATACTAATTATAAAATATCAGCACCTAAACCATTGCTGCATTGTCTTTCTGAAATCCAGGTACTAAGAGGAGAGTTTAAGGGAGAAAATGGAAATTACCGTTTCACTTGAACTATAATTAAAAAAAAAAAAAAGAATATACACAAAACTGCACAGTATGCAGAATCCCTAAGTTTGATAGATGAACAGAAAAATGCAATTAAGTTTTTAGCCTATAAACCTAAACATCGATCCAAACACAGAAATAAGTTCTGCACAGCAAGAGTGAGAGCAGAAATAAGCTCAAGAGAAGAAGCAATGTAAGGATCCTGAAAAACCCCCCAGCCAGTGCTGGGTTCATACTTCGCTCTTAGAGGGGATCACCCTGGGATGTAGTTGTTGCACTGAAGCAACACATAAAGTAAATGGAGAATTTGTTTTCCTGTTTTTCACCTATAGGTCAACAGTGATGATGATAATAGAGAGGAACACACAGGAAACTGTGTGCCATTCCGAAAAGAGCACAATTCTTACTGGTGACCCCCTGGGACATTCCAGTACATTAAGGAATATTCAGATGTCTTTGGTGTCAACAGCAAACAATGAACTAGTTAAAGGACTTCAGTGGAGCTATAAAGAATGTTTTCCAGAGGGTTTTAAATCTAAAACATCCTTTGGTAATAACTAAACCCAGGTTCCAACAGCTCACATTGCTCCCTCCCTCTGAGTACAGCCACACAGAGCTCTGGAGTTCAGTACAGAGAGCAAAACCAGACAGTGCACTTGTCAGCACTGGGAAGAGTGTACAAAGCACAGGAGGAAAGAATAACACACCTTCTGTTTCTGAAAAGGGAAACGAGGACAGATAGGCACAGATACCTCAAACATCCTATTTCTGTCAGGTCCCCAGGACTTACACCCACACAACACTGCTGGAAGGTGGGGTTGTACAGCTCCCACATGGAGCAGTACTTGCCCTCAAGGCAGCCCCTCCTCAAGAGGAACAGTCACTGTATCTGTATCAACACCCTGCTCCTCCGTAGCCTGAAACCATGGGGAATAAAGGAAAGCCATGAAAAGGCTTTGCTACTGCTTCAGTTGCCACAGGCATGGCAGCTGCACTGTGCAGCAGTGAGGCTTCCCCAAGGACTGACATGGAACAGGGGATTGGGGAGAACCCTCAAGCCCTTGGAAGAGCTACTGGGGCTTTCTGCAGAGGTATTTTCTGCATTGTAACTGATGAACCACTCTACCTTTTTTCCTGGCCAGTCTCTGCAAGCTGCCTAACCCTTGCTGTAACCAGCTCAGGGAACCTGTTAGAGAGCTGTATCTTGGACTTGTTACACCATGCTTAAATACCATAGCATTGCTTGAGCCTCACACATTCATTACGTTAGTAAATATTCAGGGGAAAATGGGCAAGAAACGAAGCAGCCTACTCACATGTAAATCTGAGGTTTCCTCTTCTGGGGGTGATTCAAGCACTTTCCTGAGATTCTTTCTGGAGTGGTAGAGGGACTAAAACAGTCGTTACGTGCAAGTCATCTGTAAAAATTAGACAAACAAGGAAAATCAGAACACAAACAAGGAGAGGCGTGCAGTATTAGAAATATTATTTGAAATCCGAGGTTCAAAATGATTAGACAAAAAATATATATATATTAATCCTCCATATAATTCAACTTGTATTTAAATTCCTCTGGTATCAGCTCTCCCCACCGAGTCTTGTTCAGATCACTACAGGAATTTATTGCAAATTTTGCAGAGCTTTTGACCTGTATCATCTTATTAAACTTTTATGAAAAATCAATGGAGTTCAATCATGTTATGAGCTGTTCTTCACACACGTGTCAGTAGCAAATGGAGAAGTCTCTTTTTCCCAATGTCTAGAGTGAAGACATTAAATTGGATACAAGTCTCTGACCATACATCCATGGTGCTGATGAGCTTGAAACAAATATTTAAGAAAATAAAATAAATGCAACTTTGATGAAAATGAGGTGGACAGCCAATGGTTTTTGAAGATGGGAAGATAACAACTTATATACATGTAAAATTAAATAATTTTATCAAATAAATGTTTTAAATAGATGACCTAAGTTTCTTTGTTTTGATTCAAAGAGAAATAGGCAACTTCATCACACAATTACATTACTAGAATCACACCAGGAGGAAAACACACTTTCCCCTTTTCTTTTTTTAGTAAGTCCACTTTTAACAGCACAAGCAGGACTTCAGAGCATACTTGGGCAATAAAGAGTTGTCAGTGCTCCTGTCTGGGACTCTGCACAATAAAGCAGTCTTCCTCTAGTACACACTGTGGCTCTGCTTGGGAGCAGCAGTGCAGGATAGATCAGACAACTCAGGGTAGGATAAGAGGGTAAGATGGACCTCACCTATCGAGGGGACTGATAAGCAAATCCAGACAGTCCAACGTCAGCTGTGCCTGCCTGGTGAATCCCATCAATGCCAAAACTGTGCTTCAAAAACGAATAAATAAACCAACTACCTTTCTGAATAAACTATCACACCTTGAGTATGGAGTCTGGGCTGCTCAGCCACTGTTTGCCAGTTTACTGCTTTTTTACCCATTTTATGGGCACAGAGACATTGCTAGTAGTATAACACTGTCTTTTAATGGCAGACACTGAAACAACCAGAAACAACATTCTGTAGAAACTCTCCTGGGTAAGCATCAATAAGCTCCCATATTTTGAACAAGCACTGCAGAACCTATTAAGCTTCAACAGAGAGGATAGTGTCTTTTGTTTGTTCTATTTCTTTATTTTCCTTACCTATTGTTTTGTTTTTAATTTCCGTGAGTAAGCTGTATTGGTATCCTGCTGGCTTCCTGCTAGCCACAGGAGAAGGAAGGGGAATTTTTGCAATAATTTAAAAATACACTGAAAGTATGGAAAGGTTAAGAATTCAGATATAAAATGAAACTAAACAAAGGCAATGCAAACTGACAAAATTAGCCCCTATCTAATCACCAAAACAATCAAAATTCTACAAAAAGCCTAGAAAAACTGGGTATGGATTAGAAAATATGACCATGTGATTTTATTTTTTTAATAAAGCAAAATCTGTGGTGGTCTCCAGCAAGCCAACCCAAGGTGCAGAACAGTGAGACTAATCTTGAAGCTTTCAAGGGGGTTCAGAGGGCCACAAAGGTGCTCAGAGGGCTGCAGCATGTCTCCTATGAAGGAAGGTTGAAGGAGTTGGGTTTCTTTAGCCTGGACAAGAGAAATCTCTGGGAAGACCTCATTGCAGCCTTCCAGTACTCCAAGGGAGCTTACAAGAAGGAGGGAAATTGACTTTTTTTTTTTTTTTTTAGCACAGGCTGATAGCAATAGGACAAAGGGAAATGGTTTTAAACTGAAAGAAGGGAGACTTAGATTATATACTAGGAAGAATTTTTTTTTTTTTACTCAGAGGCTGATAAGGTACTGAAAGAAGTTGCCCAGAGAAGCTGTGGATGCCCCACCTCTGGGGTTGAGTTGGATGGGATCCTGGGTAGCCTGATCTAAAGGATGGCAACCCTGCCCATGGCAGAGGAGTTGGAACTAAATAATCTTTAAGGTCCCTTCCAACCCAAGGCATTCTATTATTCTGTGATGCTGATTCTAATCACATTTCTCAACTATAGGCACAATGAAAACATAATCTTTTGAAATTAATGACTTTTTTTTTTTTTTTTTTTTAACATCTGGCCAAATCCACAAGCTTCTTGCATTTATGCCAGCCAACTTTTTTTCCAGGAAAAGGCAGCTGATATGCTTCTTGTACACATACACACAAAAAAAATGTTTTGCTAAAAAAAAAAAAATGTTTTGCTATAAATGAAATTTAAAAAAAAAAGTGACAATCATAACAAGAAAACAAATCACACATTTGTAACTTTAAAAATTTCAAAACATTTCACACCATTTCACCTCCAAAATAAAGGAAGGAATTAGGCTCAGATTTGTATTAGTTACATTTTAAAAAGCATCTGGAAAGTCTGTTTACATGCATTATTCATTTAATTACAGCCTGAGACATTTCATGCTGCAAGCACACCTTGGCAGAGATATGTAGGTTTACCCAACTAGTGTGAACCAGGGTCAGTAGGCCAGCTATAACTAGCAACAAGCCTGAACCTAGGGTGCTTTACATAAAGCAAATCTTTTTGCTATATTAATCTGCTGTCTTGTAATTTTTTGCTTAGAACTTTAGTACCTTAAAATTCTAAGACCTGAAGAAATGTAAGAAACTGAAGACACATTGAAATATAATGCAAAAAGGAACTGGTATCAGAGCTTTAACAAATGTTGAGTTCATTTTGTTGTTGCATCCTCTAAAGGGAATGCTGTTTTGCTGTCTTCAGCCTTGATTACTGTGGGGAAAAGCCCTAAATGGGATATGCTTTTGGCCTGATAGACAAAACATGTGTGTTGATGCTTCTCACAATGTGAACACAGTCATCAAGGGAATTGTTGCTTAGCCATTGTAAAGTTAACTTGGGTACTGCAAAGTTTTTTTGTGATGTTGTGTTTACTGAAAAGACAATTGAGAAAAAAGGTTTTAAAATACTTTTTTTGCTATTTACATTAAGTACTTCTATAATGCAAGAAGCAAACAATAAATGATGATAAAAATAGAAAATTATAGTCAAACAATACTCACTTTTCTCAAAATATAAATACTCTCATCAGCTATTATTTAGCAAAATTTATCAAGACAACGGGGAATGTCTGGAAAGAGGCTGTAGTCACCCTTTTGACCTAAAATAACATAGGAAATAAACTTGATTGCATTTAGTCATTAGTTTAACATCTATTAAAACCAAATTTCCAAACCCCAGTTCAACACTATCATTACATATAATCATCCCTCAGGAGAAAAAGAATTCATTCAGTTGTGTATATGAATGATATGTTCTGTAATGTCTTTTCCAAAGCTGACTAGTGGCCTGGGGTGGTTTGTTTGCAGATTGTTTTTTATTTTTGGCAGAGAAGGAAAGGAGTTGAAAAGCGGACAAAAGTTCAGAACATCAGGGTCAGGTGTGAAATTTGGGTATGTAAGTTTGAGCGATGAGTGTCTAAGCCCACCTGGGGGCTGCGCCTGAAATCACCAGGGCTTAAGTCTCAAAAGTCTTAAACCGTAAGTAGCATGGTCATTGCTGCATAACACTGTCTGTAAAATGGAAACAATGAGATTTTTCTAACTCACAGTGGAAGTGCTAAATTAAAACCCATTAATCCTTGGCAAGCATTTAGGTACTATAGCAATATAAAATACATCCATAAGCAAAGATCGCTCTACTGAGTTTAATGATATTATTCCCAAACTATGAATGAGTGATCAAATGAAGAACTTCTGTTTTCATTAGGAATGCTTAGATATTTTTGCTAAAATCTCTGTAAGTACCTCACAAGATATATTCTTTGACAGAGTCAATGACAAGAGGGTCATTAACTTTAAAGCTAGGCCAATTGACCCCTGAAATAACGCTGAATCCTGAGTATGATGAAAATATTACTTCTAATTCTGATCCATTTGCAGAAAAGCTTCAGAACAATCTCTCTTTTTCTTCCCAATTACGCAGGTTCAACTTACTGACTTTTTATTATAAATTGACTCTGCTCATGCCATATATCACTTATTTTAAAGGATAAGCTACTGCTAGATTAATAAAATTTTTTCCCATTTCAGTTTGGTGCTGTTATAAATCAGTGCAGCTTGTGATAAAGATCTGACTTCAAATTACAGTAAAGCAACAGAAAGGTCGATGTGCAGAGGAATATGTAGTTCCTTGGCAGTAATTTTATCAAATAACAGTAACTTTTTTTGAAATTAAGACTCAATTAGCCATCTTCTTTCACAGACACTACTCACCTTTAGCTTTTAAGCCAGGCATGTAGGTAATCAACAGAAACTTCTTGCTACCTGTAAGAAAACCAATTAAATTTAGAAAAGTCCAGTTTTTAAAAGAAAAGAATAAAATAGATAAGGCAGAACTCCAAAATAGGGCTCTGATAGGGTTAACCTGGCTATAATGTGAATTACTCCTCATTATAATCTGATTTATGGGGGAAGGACAAAGCACAGCAAATTTTGTCAGGTATGTTCTGTTTTTAGTTCACCTGGACAAGCAGAAAAAAAAGAAAAAAAAAGGATGAATTAGAAACTAGACTGTTGAATAACAAAAGCAATATCTGAGGAATTTCATAAATGTACCAAGCAATCCCTTCTGCTAAAAATATTTAATTAACCTTATAACAGACAGAAAAACATAAATTTTTAATATCCAAAAGGTTATTTTTAAATTACTAGACCAGGTTTTAATTACTGATAACCTCAGGTCAGATATACAATGGGCCAGGCCTCTGTGAAGCAGTAAACTTGGCATCAGTTTCTCTACATTCAGGCAGAATCTGATCAGATTTTGTTTTGCAACAGTCACTTAATTAGTAGTATCAGTAACCCTTACTACCTTAACATTATCTTCCTTTAGCTAATGATATCATTTTGCATGTGTTAAGTAAAACAGGAAT